GTAATACTCCATTGTATAAAAATACCATATCTTTTTTATCCGTTCCTCAGTTGATTGGCATTTGGGTTGTTTCCAAGATTTAGCTATGACAAACTGTGCTATAAACAGGGGTGCACATATCTCACTGTGGTATGATGTTTTCAGTTCTTGTGGAAAAATACCCAGAAGGGGAATAGCTGGGTTCAGTGATGAAAAACTCTTTTTTTCTGCTTTTTCTCTTTCTGTTTTCTATATATCATTGTTAACCCACACTCCCTTTTTTTTTCATAAGGAATAACATTTTATTGCTGTGATCACAAAATCATAATTTCTGTACAGGAATGTAAAAATGAACATTAATAATGCATTGATAATTCATTTCATTGAGGGGAAACATACTACTGAACATATAAAGAAAAAATATTGTAAAATTTTCTGGTCTTGCAGTGCACATTTTAGTGCAAGTATTTAAGACACATAGTGTTCAATTCAGCAAAGTATTGCAGAATGTCATGCCACAGTCCACTTAATTCAGATGATCAGGGCATGCAGCTTGTAATAAAATGTCAGAGTGTGTGTGTGTGTGTGTGTGTGTGTGTATTTATTTATATGTAAAAAACCACGTGTAATTCATAAAACATAGAGTGGTTTATTTGGATGGTTGTAAGTGATTCACTGTGGAGTCGGGATGACTGGCCACATCCAGGGTTGTCTCCAGTGGAACAGTCCTCCTACCAGGCGATGGCTTTGGCCTCAGGCAGGAAAGCCTCCCAGTATTTTATCAGCTGTTGCTGTGCTTGTACTAATGATTCTAAGTACTTGATGATAACAGCTTTAAAATCCTTCACTCATTCTTTCTCAAATCTTCCCACTTCTTTTCGAATTGTTTTAGAGATCTGTTCAAAATGTCTTTCTCCTTGTTGTACTTTCGCCTCCCACTCTCTTATTTCATTTTTAGCTTGCTGTATTTTATCTGGTTTGTTAGCGACCATCATTTTTGCCTCAGTTTCACATTTTTTGAGCAAAGTAATTTGAGCGTCTTCCCATTTTTGCCAGCACTTCATTTGATGGTCAAACACACCTTTTACTGCAGAAATAAGACAAATGTAGTCACTAAGTAGCTCTGAAAACATACAGAAGTAAGCAAAAGCTTGTTCTTGATGTAACTGGTTTATTTTCTCTTCGACCTCTGCAAGCTGAGACAGAGCTCTAGATAAACTGGTATGATCCTCAGAATTACCTAACATGGCAGCACTTTTAGCAGAGGCCGCTATATTGGCTCAAAGTTCTTTTCTATGACAAACCAAGGCTTCAGCACTGGCATGAAGTTTCCTAAGTTGCTGGTCAAGATTCTCAAACTGCTGCTGCTTTTCTTCAAACCATGCATCCGATTCATTCATCTTGATTGTCACTTTGTTGACAGCATCTGCAGCCTTGTTCACCATCCTCAATATCCCAGCTCCACTCAGAGCCTGTGTGTTAACTGCTCTGGATAGCTCTGAATTTTCCAAAAATTGCCTTAAGTCAGGATCCTGCAGTAAAGTTGGATGTTTTACTATTCTTTGAAGATACCTTTCAAGAGCTGCTCTTCGTTTTTCTATAAACTCAGTGGATGATGAATCTTCTTTACCTACTTTGACCTTGGTCATACCTACTATACTCTTGAGCTGGTGGCACAATATAACCAACATGTAAATGCTTGCTTGCTAATTTTCTGTGCAAACCAAGAAAGTCACTGAATCTTCTTTTAACTGCAAATTCAGTCTTACTGAACGTGGAAAGAGAAGTCTTCGTTGTTACTCTGTGTGCCATGTAAGCATTCATGCCATCACCAACTCTCTCTGGATCTGACACACAATTTCTATATCAAAAATATCTCCATTTGCTTCTTCAATCTTTTCTCTGGACCTGTCAAAGATCACAGGAGCTGACACACTCTTGAATCCCATTCGAGGAGAAATGAGTGTAGTAGGGTGACAGGTGTGACTGCAGGAAAAGACTCTGAGGACAGGATAGGGTCCCTTTCTGGGCTGTCCAAAGAAACTTCTGTGGCTTCTGCAAACAGATCTTCTCTGTCATCATCTAGTACAACATCTGATGGTTTGGGGCCATTGGAGTTTGCGTTAACATCCTCTGTAAGAAGACTAGCTGGTTCTGGAGATGATGGACTTGACTCCAGGGTGGACACAGTGCTGGTGAACAGGTCCTCGCCATCCTCCAGCTCTTCAAAGTTGGTGGGCCTCCCATCCCTCAGTGGGGGAGGCTCCCTCTCGGCTGCCATCTTCGCTTACTGGACTACTGCGCAAGCTCTCCCTCTCAAAATAGAGTCTGAGACTTACCCAGTGAGGGAGATTCTTTTATAGGTGGTATTTGTTTTTTCATTAAGAGACACAGTATCTGATTTTTTTTTTTTTTTATTTTTAAAAAGTAAAAGAAGGATAACATAATAATGGGGGGGGCTTACCAAATTACAGACAAAGTGGTAGGAAATTATCAATGGTTATTGTTTTACATATTGTTATCTACAAGATAATTTCTCAGGAAAACAAATAGGCAAATAATAGTGAGTTACAGACAAAAGAGGTAGATTATCAATAGTTGTTGTACTGTACTTTGGTATCTTCAAAGTGGCTTCTAAAGAAAATAAATAGAGCTATACATGAGTGACCTATTGAATAATCATTAACTATTCTCAATGGTTGTTGTAGGAAACACATAATAATAAACATGCATCCATTTATGAAATGGGATAGGAGCAATACACACATTACATAGTTATGGATAGATTAGTAGGAAAATATCAATGGCTGCTGTAATACATGGTGGTATCTTCAAAGTAGTTTCTCAGGAAGACAGAGATATGCAAGAAGGATCTAACAAGTAGTTACAGCCTAAGGATTGTGAAAAATAGCATATTACCTTCTCACCAGTGACTCCTTTCACTGAGGTGTGATGGCTGGAAGGAAGGCCAGGATTGAAAAGAAGGACCGAGAGACTTGCACCTGTGTCTAGCAACAGGCTGTTTTCTTGTTCCTCCATAGTCAACATCTCTATGGCTCCTCCATAGAGATGACGGTCTGGCCAGAGGGAGAAGGCAGAGTATGCCCCAGGCCCTCTCATTCCTGTTGAACTAACTGGTAGGATGGGTCTGAGCTCTGGGGCCTTTGCTTCAGAGGGCTCCAGTGGTCACCTTTGCATTCAGGACATGGCCCCACTGCCCTCTTAGGGCAGTTCCCCTTGAGGTGGCCTGGCTTTTAACAGTGGTAGCAGATGAATGTAGTCGTTAAGTTCTTCTTGGGGCCCCGGGAAGCAGACTTGGGATCTGTTTCTCTTAGTGCTGCAGCAAAAGCAACTGCTTTTTCTTGGTCTCTCTGTTTTCTCTCCTTGGCCTCCTCCTCATCATGGCCATATGACTCTCTGAGCTGTGCTTTCTGTAATGAAGTCAGACGTTTAGACCTAGGAGCAGGTTCTTAATAAATTCGTGATAGAACAGTCATGATTTTCATGTTGATAGATCTCTAGGCCTTTGAAAAGGAAACAGTGAAGAATTATAAAGAATGATAGACTGGAATATCATTCTTTATAGTCCAGGATCCTCAGCTACAGAAAGTGCCACTCAGAGTGAATGAGTATGAAGAATTGCAAACAAGGCATTTATTTTAAGTGTGGATGTTGAGATACCTTCTTCCTAAGCATCGGAGTAAGAGGAGTCTAGAAACTTAAGAGTTTCAATAGAAAAAGTTCTCAAGAATCTCAGCAGTCCCAAAGGAAGAAAGCAAGGCAAAACCTCTGCTACCCAAGGAGGTTCTCAAGGAGTGCCATATAAGACAAACCTTTGTAAGACAATTACAGCTCATTCTAGTTTTTAAAACTTTCTTTTTAAATTCGTGTTGTGTTGCAGTGGGATTAACTGGACAGTTTGTTGAGGAAAATAAAGTACCATGGAATTGACATAGTACCAACATAGAGGATGTGAACAAAGCTAATATTTTACATCCATCAGAGAAAATACACAGGCGAGATGAGGGTTTGTTTGGTACTGGGAATCAAATTCACGACCTCTCACTTGCCAGGCAGGCGCTGTGCTGATGAGCTATATCCCTGGCCCCTGGCATGGAGGATTTTCATGGGAAAGTTTTCATGTAGAATTGAGACCTCTGTTCATGAAACTATCCACATGGGCGAGAAACCATGTATATATGCTACCTGACACAAAAGATTCATCTGTGAGTCTACACTGCATGATCATAAGAGGGTCCATGTGAAATAGAAAACAAACCATTGTAAAAATTGGAAAATGCTTGAACTGCAAGGGAAACCTCAACATTCTCTAAAGAGCATACTTAGGAACTAAACCATCTGAGTATTCAAAACAGTGCTATGTAGTGGAAATATAGCATGAGCCACAAAAGTGAGTCTCATGTAATTCAAAATTTTCTAGTAGTCATATTAAGAAAATAAAGAAAAAAAATGTAGTGTTATTCTGTAATTCTCTTTTAATGTGGATTATTTGCTATGCTTGGTCCCCTAGCCCATTTTTTTGAGTGGCTAGTCTGCTTCATAAGTGTAGTTATTTTTCATAGTCTGCTAATGTTTATAAATAAAGTACTTGATCATTCCTTGTGGGTGACTGGTGTGGTCAGTGCTTGAAATTAGGGGGCTGTGTTTTCCTGACTGACTTCTTATTCCAAGAGTTATACAGAGTCCATTGATAGTTGAGTGGTTTGATTCTGTGGCACTTTCTCCTCCTTTAGATGTGGAGCCCTTGCTGTGCTCTGGGATGAAGTGGCTGCCTTGGGTGGCTGCTGTTCAGTGTGGTGGCAAGTGCTCCAGTATTTAAACGTGGTAGGGTGGGGCTGGGCGTGTAGCGCACGGTAGAGCACTTGCCTAGCATGTGTGAGGCCTTTTGTTAAATCCCCAGCAACACGCTCGCATGCGCGCATGCACACAAGAATAAGCACTTGATTAACATACTCAGTTTTTGTCTGTAATATTTAACATGTTATTCTATGTATTTACAGGAATGCACATGGTCTGATAAAAGTCATTATAAAATTATTACAAATGCAAGCTGTGAAGGAAGGACAAGGTGGGGAAAAGAACATTCAGAATATATATACTATTAGGTAAGTCTTTGTGAAGAAATTGATTGTTTTTTGATACTGGGAAAAGAATTGAATTATTAAGACATGCTATGAGTCATGGTAATCCATTAAGAAGTAGTTATTTAACTCAGTGGTATAACAATGATTATGGATCCTGTTTCAAGGAGGATTGAGATAGAGTTGATCACTAATGTGGGTTCAGGGTTGCTTCCTTAGGGTTAAAATTGGTTACCCAAATTCAAATTATTCTTTTTGCTTTTGAGTATGTAACTATCTTCCCATTACTGTGAACACTGGAGTGTTTACTCAGCAAATGTACTTAAAGCTGGAGGGTTTAGGTAAAGCACAAGAGTAAGCTTTCTCAGTATGAAAGTACAGTCATAGCTGGGTACTCGATTGCTTTGAAATTTGTCTTACTTGCTGCTTGACACATTTTGATGGGAAAATTTTGTCCCAGTACTCGTCATTCATTTGCTGCTTGACACATAAGCTAGAACTTGTTGATCTTGGTTGCTTCTTGACTTGCTGCCCTTTCCAGCTGGAACACTTTGTTGATAGTGTTTGGTAGTCAGAGGAACAATTAATGACAAGTACTGCGGTACCACTGCCCTAGAAGACTGTTGTCTGCATGTGTTACTATCCAGGGCAAGGGCAGTGGTTAGCCATCTTTATTTATCTTTTCTTTGTCTTTGTAGAATGTAATAAGAATAAGAATGTAACAAGATAGAATTATTTAAAAAAGGAAAAGACAGCAGCAATGATAGTAAAACGTGTTGGATTTTATAGTGGAGTTGTGGGCAAAGAAGAGTGATGTACTCCCAGAAAGCTGCTTTAAAAGAGGGGCTCTTGGTTAGTGGAGGATCTATCTGGAAAGTGCACATAATCCGTTTATGTTGTCCGAGGAACTCTCTCCAGTGACAGATCCAGAGTGTGCTTGTTTCCAAAGGACGAGACTATGGAACCATAAACAGTATATTCGTTTATGAAGGGAAGATAGCTTACATGGGCTGTGGAGACATAGCAGGGAAGGAAGTTATGTCTTAGTGAGCCGTGATTAGCTTGAGATTACAGCACCTGTAGTGTTGAGACGTTAACAGCATAGCTGTCAAAAGCTATGAGAGAGTCTCCAAAATAAAGGAACGCCTTTTGCTTACTGGTTTTTATATTGCTTTCCTTTTATAATAAGTAAACAGTATTTTATATAGTACCATGATCTTCCCTGTAATTTTAGTGCTGCTTATGATTTTATTTTTATGAGTATATTGTTGAGAGTTTCTTAAGCTATTTTTAAAAACAAGATTGGATTTGTATTTTTATATATTTTTCTTAGCATGTTCTGTGAATATTTTCAAGCATATAAAAAGTTAGAAGAATGTGGGCAATGAATTTATTGATTTTTAAAAAATTTATTTAAAAGAGTAAAAGAAGGATAACATAGTAATAGAGGGATTTACTGAATTACAGACAAAGTGGTAGGACAATATCAATGGTTGTTATTTTACCTTTTGGTATCTTCAAGATAGTTTCTCAGGAAAACAAATAGACAAATAATAGTGAGTTACAGACAAAAATGGTAGGAAATTATCAATGGTTATTGTACAATACTTTGGTTTCTTCAAAGTGGTTTCTAGGGAAAACAAATAGAGCTATACATGAGTGATCAATTAAATAATCATTGACCATTCTCAGTGGTTGTTGTTGAAAACACATAGTAATAAACATATATCCATTTGCGAAATAGCATAGGAACAATACAAACATTACAGAGTTATGGACAGACTGGTAGGAAATTATCAATGGCTGCTGTAATACATGTTGGTATCTTCAAAGTGGTTTCTCAGGAAAACAAAGATATGCAAGAAAGATCTAACAAGCAGTTACAGCCTAAGGGTTGTGAAAAATAGCATATTACCTCCTCACCAGTGACTCCTTTCACTGAGGTGTGACAGCTGGAAGGAGGGCTGAGATTGAAAAGAAGGACCGAGAGATTAGCACCAGTGTCCAGCAATAGGCTGTTTAATTTTCCTCTATAGTCATGATTATGCTGGGCTTCTCCTTGAAGATAACGGTCTGGCCAGAGTGAGAAGGCACAGTATGCCCTGGGCCCCTTCATTCTTGTTGGACTAACTGGTAGGATGGGTCTGAGCTCTAGGGCCTCCTCTTCAGAGGGCAGACCAATCTCCAGTGGTCACCTTTACAGTCAGGGCATGGCCCAGGGGGCTGCTTAGGGCAGTCCTTCTTGAGGTGGCCTGGCTTTTGACAGTGGTAGCAGATGAATGTAGTTGATGAGTTCTTCTTGGGGCCCCAAGAATCAGACTTAGGGTCTGTTTCTCTTAGTGCTGCAACAAAGGCAGCTGTCTTTTCTCGATCTCTTGGCCTCCTCCTCCTCACGGCTATAAAATACTGAGGAGGACATCTCAAGTGAGCTATCTGGGGAAAAAGCCATTTTTCGTAGCTTTTTTCTACTATTTGGGGCTGAATGAGTAATAAACTTATCTTTAAGAATAGTTTATCCCTCTACTGACCTGGGATTCAGGCAAGTATGCTCTATCACTGCCTCTTGTTTAAGAAAGCAGAGGGGTATTCTCGCCAGCCTCCCAGCGCATTGGGATCCCTCAGCCACTTAGTGTCCTCTCCCCAACCATCAACACAGGCGGCAGGAACATGTAGATGAAGTCCTCGGCCCACTAGTCAGTCTCAGCACCATCAGGTACAAAGTGTCCCAGGCAGGTAACCTAGACACGTACCTTCTCCATGAAGGTGGTTCTTCAAAATCTGAATATTGGGCACTCATGAAATCCATGAAATCTCAGTGCAGACCTCTCCAGAGCTCCACTCGCTCCTCTACTGCAGCCTGTACAGTTAGAGGAAGAATGACCTCCAGGGTGTCTCCCCAGTTATTGCACAAGGTTTTCCTGGTTTCCAGCTCCCGAATGGCTCCTGCGTCCCCAGTCAGCTCAACCTTTGAGTCATCGGGTGTTGGTACTCTAGTGTTCTCTTGAGTCCTTGTTCATCAGCTGCTCCTCCGCTGACTCCAGATCTTTTTGGCTCTCAAGGGCAGGGCCAAGAGTGACGCGCCATGTGGCATGTTTTCCCAGAGGTTTCTCCATGTCGGGATGGTTCATGCACGTCTCTGGGCGGGCCTATTGTGTCAGTGCTTCTTTGTGGCATGGTGTTTCTTGACTGTGTGGCGGTGGCCTGCACAAGGGCTGGCACACGTCTTCACGCTGCTTCCTGGGCGCCTGCTGCCTGCCTTTCTGGGCGCCTGCATGGCCTCCCAGAGCGGGCACCTGTGCGACCAGGTGCGCCAGCCCCAAAGGACCCATGCTCCCCAGCTGTGTGGTGTCCTGGAGAGGGCCTGATTTATTTTTAAATAGGAGAAGCAGAATGGAAATTATTTGAAAATACTCCATAAACTTGTTTTGTGCAGGATAAAGTTTCAAAGTGATAAATATGCTTTTTAAAATTTAAACTTGGTAATGCTCCTTTATAATACAAATTTCAGGTTTCTCCTTCATGTATTACCTTGAATAGAATTGATCTTTTAGATGAGCAGATCTTAGTAGTTCTGAAGAGACATTAGCATTTCTTTCTTTTTAAAAAGAAGTTACCAAAAAGAGTTTAAAGTCTTGGGCCAGAATTCCAGTATAGGACACAATTCTATTTTATTGTCATTCAGTGAGGCGTATTTATTTATAAACAGAGAAGCTATTAGAGTTTTAAATTTAATTTTTATATGTTTTATTGAGATATAGTGCACAAAATATTTGATTGACTCATTTAAGGTATATAATTCAGTGGATTTCAGTGTACTCATGGAGTTATATGACCATTACTACAGTCAACTTAAAACATTTTCATTATCCCATAAAGAAACTCCTCACTCTCTGGCAGTCACAGTGTATTTCCCTCCTAGCCAGTGGGGTACTTTTCAGTTTGGGTTCTCAGTACTGGCTGGTCACTAGAACAACGTGAATGTGCTTAGAAACAAACAAACATGGGCAGAGTCAGACATCAGCGACTAACAGGACCAGACTCTCTGCAGTGAAGCCTGGTGTTCTTTTAACGGATCAGGTGCATCTGATTCACAGTGAGCACAGTGTGGCAGTCAGCTGCTCTCCAGCACACATGCTGATCCCCTGGGGATCTTGCTGAACTGCAGACTGTCCTTACCCTAGGCCCTGCTCAGGATGCCTGTCTAATAAGCTCCCTGGTGACCCTGTGCTGCCCGCAACACCCTAAGGAGGAGAACTACATGGCATCAGCGCTGCCAGGGAGCTTGTTTAGGAAGGCAGTGACTTGGACTCCATCGCAGGCTCCCTGAATCAGAGCAAATGGGTTAGGAATATATTCCAGGTAACTCATGGGCACTTTAATGTTTAAGATACATTGGTTTCAATAACAATAAAAGAAACTTTTGCACCATGCAGAGCAATTAGGGTTACTCTCATTTTCATTCTGATTGTCTCACAGTCTGATTGATGGGCCTGCAGTCATTTGTAATGTTCAACTTGTTTTGTTTATAATTCACTTTCTCTTGTAGTTGGTTCTTTTAACTGCAGTCTTGTTTTCAGAAGGCAGTAGGTGTAAGGTGTGAATAGGGAGCTTAATTTGAGGAGCCCAAAAGAATGGATACATAAGGTTTATCCAAAAAGAATGGATATATAAGAATGGATACATAAGGTTTATCCTAATGTGCCACATTAAGAAGTCCAGAATCAATCACCTGAGTTGGCATAATCTGGTAATGTTTACGGAGGGCCCTTATGTGAATGGCTGTTTGCTGCTATAAATCAGTAGAGTGTAATCGACTGTATAAGAGCCTTAAGTTTCTCCAGGGGGGATTGTGGATTGCAGAAACAGAAGAGAGGTGAGCTTGAAGAGCAGATTCCCCTCAAGAGAGCTATGACTACCTGAGTCAGGCATAAAATTGTCATGCTATTTTAGAGCCTTCTTTGCCACATGTTGGATAGCAATATCATCCAGCCTTTGAGAGGGGACCGATGAGCTGTGTAAGAAAG